CCTGTCTGCTTTGTCTATGGGCAAGCTCTCCCCCTGTTTCACCTGGACCCAATGGTGTCTCCTCAGGGCCCTAGATATATTCTTTTCTTTAAGCCAGGTAGGAGTTTGATTCAGCAGTGGGCCCTGCTATGGCATTGGGGCCATGGCACTATCCAAGTATTCCAGATGCTGGCACAGGCTTTGGATTCCCACCCTTTCCATTCCCTAGCTGTCTTCCTGTTTAATCCTCAGTGGCTTCTTAGTGGTTAGTTCTTTCTTACATTTGCTCCCCTCCAAGCATTCTTGTCATTTGGCTCCTTTGATCTCTTCCATGCTTCTTCATCTGGGGTGTGTGTGTGTGTGTGTGTTCTCTAGCTATGTTCGCTTCTTGAAAGAGAGGCTCCAATGGGATCACTAGGGGTGGGTAGGGGAGAAGGAAGCATGCTCAAATGAAAGGCAGCGCTCGAATGTGAATTTTACCGAGTTAGCAGAAGCCCTTTTGGTTAATTACTGCTCCCTTCTCCCTTGGGGACTGGCATTATTTTTCCCGTGAAGGAGTTCAGAGCGGCATCCCAGTGAGAGCTAGCTGTGAAAGAGCTGCCTCTTGTTATGCAGTCTGGCAGGAGTAATGGCATTAGCTCCCAGTAATAATCTGCAAAATGTTTTCCAAAAAAAGAGAGAAGTGCTTACTCTCATTTCATTTAAAGGTAGGGCGGATGAGGCTAATGGAAGATCAGCCAATTCTTGTTCCTTGTCAGTTATTGCATGCATTCTCATTTGGGAAGGGCTTAGTGGTAGAGCTTTTTTCTTTGTAGGCAGAGGTGCCTAATTCAGCCCCCAGGTTTTCCAGGCAGGGCTGGGAATTTCCCCAATCTGAAATCCAGGAGTATTGCTGCAGATCAGTGTAGCCAATACTGAGATAGACGGTCCAAAGATCTGATTTGGTTTAAGGCAACTTCCTGCTTTGCACTATTCTTTTTCTGCAGGGGGAGGGGGGGTGAAGGTTACTGGCAGAGCATTTTCTTTGCATGCAGAGCATGCAGCATCTCTGGGCTGGGGGCTGGGAATGTCCCCTTTCTGAAACCCCAGAGATCAACTTCCAGTCAGTGTAGGCAATATTGATTTCAATACACCAGTGGTAAGACTTGTTATAAGGCAGCTCCCTATGTTTCTAGATCCATTCTGCACGTTTAAAAAAGCACCAAAACTGCATTTAAGTTGTGTGCTCTTTACCATAAAGTATGGATAGATTGTCCTCACATGGTTGTTTCTATCAGTTTCTCATTTTTCCAATCAGTGGCTGAGCACTTGCTTTGCATGTAGGAGATCCTGGCTTCCATCTTCAACATCCCCAGAAAGAACAGGAACTGCCCCCAGTCTGAAACCCTGGAGTGTTGCTACCAGTCAGTGCGGACAGTAGAGAGCTCCTGTTTCCAATGAACTAATGCACACAGGATCTGAGCATGAAGAACAGAGTGTGTCTCATGGATTGTGAACTTTTAAGGGAATATTTACTGAGACATTCCACAGGTGACTTAGGAGGCACTGGTATGAACACTGGCCAATATTATTCAGGGCTGACTTCATCATTTTCTGGTGTACTGAGTAGTACACCACTTCAAGCTGCAAGGAAGCCAATATTCTGCTCCAGGTGTTGGCTCTAATGGAGTGTTCTGGTCAAGACAGGGTGTAGCATTCAGGATGGACAGCTCCACGTTGAGACACTTTAGAACGGTGCTTCAGCAACAGATAACCTCAGTATGAGCAACGGAGCATTAAATATGGCTGCAGCTCTGCCCCCCAGGGGGAAAAGGGGCACTGCCTAATTCAGCAGCCATAGGCTCCCACCATATAGGGGAAAACAATTGTTCCATTGGAGCTTCTCAACTGAAGTCCTCAGAAGATGGCAATGAGACCTCTTCAGACTAGAGAGGTGTTGACAGAATGGCCCCCTCCTGGATTAGGGCTGCTAAGGCAATGCGGACCATAATGACCATATTTCCTCATGCTGTCTGATTCTTCCACCAAGTCCACAGCCTTGTAGCCTGAAGATGGAAAGTTGGTCTCTGTGGCTGTGACATCTGGCTGCAAACATGTTTCCAGAAACATAAAAATCTGCCTTATACTGAGTCAGACCCATTGGCTCCTCTTGCTCAGCATTGTCTGCATTGTCCATATTGATTGGCAGCTGTTCTCCAGGGTTTCAGAAAGTATACCCTCCCAGCCCTAACTGAAGACACCTGGGACCTTCTGCATGCAAGGCACATGCTCTACCATTAGCTATGGTCCCTCAAACATAGTAAGATGCTTCATACTGTATCAAACCATTGGTCTATCCAGCTCAATATTGCTCACATTTAATAGCAACAGTTTCCCAGGTTTTCAGACAAGTCTTTCTCCTGGCCCCTGAGACTTTCTGCATGCCAAGCAGATGCTCTCCCACTGAACTATGGCCCTTCCCCATTTGGCTCTTGCGTCTCTGTAGTTGTGTCTGTTAAATCTAAACTTTGAGAGCTGATCAGCCTCCTTCACTGGCTCCTAAGTTTGGGTCCCTGGCAGAGAACAGCACAACTTCATCTCAAAAGCCACCAGAGACCAATTCTGTCATTGGTGAGAATATCTGATGATTAACTTTTCCAGTGAAGTGTTTGCTTCTGCCAGGCAACCGATGTTTTATAAATGAGCAATTAAAAGCAGGGAGGAAAGTGAGCAAGTGAGCTGGCGTGAGAATCTCAGAATGAGATGTCTGTCAGAGTGTGATCGTTACTGGTTCAAATGACTTTCAGTGGCTTGGGCTCGTGTTTTGGCAGCTCACGCTTTCCTATTCATTCTCTCCAGGTTCCTCCCCACCCCCGCTAAATATAATTGCTTCCATTTATGGTGTACATTTGATCCCAGTGGAAAACTAAACACTGAGCATCTCAGTTGGGGATGGGTGTCACGCTGCAAGGGGTTTGGCTTCTCACACCTACCTCTTCTATTCAAGTTCAAAAGTAGGGGTTAGGAACTTCAGGTCTGTGGGCCAAATTTGGCCCTCAGAATTTCCCCCAGGCACACAGATTCCCAGCTTTACCAGCCCTGCTTCACATCATCCTTGTGTGTTATTGCCTGGCAGGATGTGTGCTTGAACTCTGATAAAGTTTCTTCCTTGCCTGGATGGTGGGTAGAGTTGGGTGTGTATGTGCATAGAAATCTTATAATGCAAAGATAACATTTACATTTATTGACCTGCCCATTTTTACTTCTGGTCCTGCACACAATTGGCCCCTCCTTTTTTCCTAGGACCATCACTGGAAGACTTCATGGGTGCCACTGTGTCCTTGGGCATTGGGTTGGTGACCCTGGTCTATATTTACCAGGAATTTCCCCTATTTTCTGGCACCTACCTGCTGGGTACATCACAGTTTCCCCTCCCACCACTTTCTGCCTTTTTGGTTAAAATGTTCGGGAATTTTCATTCTGTGAAGTTCAACTCTCCTCTTTTGGCCTCTACAAGTCAGATATTTGAGAAACACACACACACACTGAAACATGCATGAACATGGGGAGGAATATTGACATTTTATTATACTGCTGCTGAAATACTTGCACTGGTTTCTAATTAGCTACTGATGTTAGTGAGCAAGGTGTTGATATTGGGGAGCAAAGCCCTATATAGCTTGTAAATATGGGGACTGTCCCTGGGAAATGGGGACATCTGGTAACCTTAACCTAAGAGATTGTTCACCACTTACATACCCAACCAATCACTGCGTTCTTCTGGAGAGGGCAGATATCATCCTATCAATAGGTCCATTCTGCATAAGGCTGGAATCAGGCCTTTAGTGGTGGGCAACCAGTTTTCCTACCCCTGAAGTAGAGTCTTCAGTAGTGCAGAACAATTATTAGTTGGGGACTGAGTAGCAGTCTTTGGCCTCACCAAAGTGATACCAGGCTGCCTCTGAAATGATGAATGAGCAAAGGTTCCAAAACTGGGGACTGGCTTAAGGTGTTTATATATATAAGGAATATTGCATTAGTTTTCCTGATTACAGTATAATGCTAGTGCTTTTGTCCTGTTTTCTAACCCTCCCTTCACACTGCAGTGTCTGTTGCATTATGGAATTCTGGCTTTTTGACTGAAATAGTGGAATGTTGCATTCAATTTCATTCACGTGTGTGTGTGTGGGGGGGGATTTGTGATGCAACAACTAATATCATTGGAAAATGTTGCTATTCCCTCACCCTTCTGTTCCCCCATGATTCCCCCATGAAAACAGCAGGAAAGAATTGTATGCCATCCCTCCCCCCCAAATTTTCATAGAATCATAGCCTGACCAGCAAGGGTATTTATGCAAAAACTCCTAGGTTAGAACAGAAAGCCACTGCCAGTCAGTTTAGGCAACACCTGCTCCTAAGAGTTTGATCGGTCCAGACTTCTCCCAAACCCTTGTTTCCCCACCTACGCATGAGCTGAATTAAAATTTGAGCCAGCTCTTTCTGCCGGAAAGTATTTCCTGATGTTTAGTTGGAATCTCCTTTCTTGTAATTGAAACCATTGGTTTGAGTCCTACCCTCCAGGGCAGGATAAAACACACATGCTCCATCTTCCATGTGAAAGCCCTTGAGACATTGGAAGACGGCTATCACATCTCCTCTCAGTCTCCTCGTTTCCAGGCTAAATATATCCGGCTCCTTCAACCACTCCTCATAAGGCTTGGTTTCCAGCCTTATTTTGTCACTTTACTCCCATAATCTTTTAGGGTTTATGGGGTTGCCAGTGGATTTTTTCCCTGGAAACGATTAATGTGGAAATGTGTGCTGAACTTCCATTATATTCCACTAGAGTTCTGAAGGTGGCTTTTGCATTGTGTGGAAGCAGAAATTAAAAGTTATGGAAACATCAGGAAGACAGAATAAACTGCTTTGTGCAGGCAGCTTTAGTGAGCCAGTCGGCTCCAGTGGTTCAGGGCTTTTATTCAGAGCCCTGAAAACTCTCATCTTAACACAATTTCTTTCATTCTCTCTCCTTCTCCCATTAGGATTCTGGCTACTGCTGGGGCTCAGTTTGACTTGCGGACGTTGAGAGCTGTCCGAGTGCTGAGGCCGCTGAAGCTTGTATCAGGAATCCCAAGTGAGTACAGTATGACTTCCATGTCCAACTTTTGCCTCTGGCCCCTCACCAGGGTGTGTCCCACTCAAGGTTGCTCAGAAGAGGGTGCAGCCCTTAGGCCAAAAGAGGGTTTCTCAGCCCTGACTTTTGCCAAGAGCTAGAGAATCTTTAGTCCTCCAGATGCTGCTGAACTACAACTCCCATCATCCCAAGCCATCAGCTTTGCTTGATGGGGCTTATGTCTGGCCCTCCAGACATTGCTGAACTGCAACTTCCATCAATATGATACCAAATAATTATGGGAGCAGTAGCTTGTTGAGGGTGCTGAGAGTTGTTGGAGACCTCTATCCTCCACACAGACCTACAGTTCCCACAGTAGTTTAACAGTTGATCCCTCTTCACAGAGAACTCTGGGAATTGTAGATCTATGAGCATAATTGGGGTGTGTGTTCCTAACTCTTAGCACCCTTAACAACTTACACCTCCCAGCATGCTTTGGGGGAGCCATGATTGTTTAAAGTGGTATCACAGTGCTTTAAATGTATGATGGCTTAAGTCAAGTTGAAAAGAGTTTGCTCAGTGCTAAATTGTTCCTATGGATTTCAAGCCTGTGCCTGGAGTTTTTATAGCCTGAGCGTCTCATCAATGTTTCCTGGCACGCGAATGGGGTCCTTGCAGCCAAGGAGCTCCTATCCGCTGGCTGTGAAGGCAGCTTTGTTTCATTCTGCAATGTCTGCATAAAATTATCTGACTCTGCCGTCTCCTTGGCTTCATCTCTTATCTCCTGTGCTTTAATTTAAAGTGTCTTTTTTGTTTGGTGAAGGGCATGGGAGTTGAGTGACAGCTCCGCTGGTTTGTGTCTAGCCTTTGTGTGTCTAGGGGTGGTTCTGTACAAGGGATAGGCAATCAAAAGGAACCAATGAAATGGGGAGGAGGAAACATAACGTATTGCAGATATCAGGGACCTCAGTCCTGGAACCCAATATGGCCTCCAGACCCGTCTCTCTCTGACCCTCAGAACTCCCCTGGGCCACACCCTCTTTCCTAAAGCCAGAACCCTCACCACCCTTGCTTTGCTTCCTCCTTTATTTTAATTTTTTTGGCTTGACTTGAGACGTATCATTGGGCTCTATTAATGACTCTATCTTGAATGTGTGGAATTTATCTTTGCTCCACCTACTTTTGCCTTTGACCCCACCCACCACTGTCATGTGACAACCCTCCCCCCAGAAGGCTGCCTAAAAGGGAATGTGGCCTTTGGGCTGAAAAAGGGGCCTCTGACATGGACTTAACCCCCCTCTTAAATTGCTGATCATCATATAATTGTTGATTAGTGGGGAAATGGGGATTGTGGTCTGCAGAACTAGTTGCATGCTCAGAGGATGGGAAGGGAGCCTTGATTTCTTTTGTCCCCCTGGCAGCTTTATGCTTCACATCAGATGTATTTGCCTTGAGCCGTTCCCTGGCTCCTGGTCTGTTTTGAAGCCTTGCTCTGTTTTTACGGGGGAGGGTGTCACTCAGTACTAGAGAAGATGCTTTTCCATTGAGGATAAGGCTGTTCTACCTTCACTGATGGAGGCAGGATGCCTCTGAATACCAGTTGTTGGAAATCACCAGTGGACAGAGTTCTATTCTGCTCAGGTCCTTTTTGTGGGCTTCCCAGTGGGGCATGTGGTTGGCTACTGTGAGAAGAGGATGCTGGACTAGTTGGGCCTTTGGCCTGATCCAGCAAGGGTATTTATGCAAAAGGTCCTAGGTTTGAACTGACCCCTGCCAGAATCAACAAAAAGCCACTGCCTGTCACTTTAGGTAACACCTGCTCTCAGGGGTGTGATGGATCCAGCCAAAACCCTTGTCTCCCCACCTATGCATGAGCTGAATTAAAATCTGAGCCAGAGATTCAGTGGGTCCTATTGTAATGCGATGTTCTTTGAATTAAAACCACAGCAACTTAATGATGCTTAAGTCTGAGCCCCTGTATTATTTCCTAGCTACAAATCAGGGGTGCTTATGGAATTTGATTCTGTGAATTCTGAATCAGATGTATCTGGACATGTGTATGGATTATAGTACACACACCATTATATAGTGCATACATAGTGCATGCAACCCTCAGAATTTGCACTTCTTTCAATTATGTGGTACAGATTTCAGCTGAAAAAAGTATACCAGGTTGTGTTTAAACTGCATATTTTAAGATAAAATGCATTAAAAAATTCGTACATTTGTAATAAGATACATCTTTAAATGCTAGAGGAGTGCAACAGATCTATATGATATCTGAGGCATCTGGTTGAAACAAGACACCTCAGGTATTTCATTTTTTTTTACTTGCCCAACTCAGATTGGAATGTTAACAAAGCCTCCTGAGTTGGTGTGACAGTCCCTCTGAAGCCCCATGTCGCTCTGTCAACTTGTTCACCAAATAAAATTTCTGTAGACATTTTTGTTGTTGCTGCAGTTAAAAGCAAAACCAAGTTCCTGTAGTGGAAATGCTCTGGTGCAGCTCAAGTGGGGAGTTAAGGGTAGTTTGTTTTGATGGACACATATAGCTTTTAATCAAGAGGGAAATATTTTACCAGGGATCTCCAATCATAGCACTTCAGCAGCAGATGAAAGTAGTTTCACTTGCTGGCTCATAGCTTTTTTTCCAAGCTCTGCCACTCCAAAGCAGGAAAGTTTGAAGAGTGGTGGTCTGTTTGGGCTCCATGTCAGCCTTTCCAATTGCTTTCCATTGACAACAACCCCTTTTGCCCCAATATCTACCTTAATTGTTATGGGTTACACCAGATGTTATCCCTGCTCAGAGTAGACTTACTGAAATGGATGGACATAATTAACTGTGGCCCATTCATTTTAATGGGTCTGTTCTTCGTAGAATTTCATATCTTGTTTTCAGCTCCAGTTTGCATTTACTTGTGCAGCCTTTTGGGCCCTAGATGTTGCTGGACTACAGCTCCCACTATTCGTAGCCAGAATGGCTAGTGGTCAGGGACCAAAAGTTGTGAAAGACTGGCTTAGAGCATAGTGTTATCCCTAATCCCTTAGTTTAGGCCTGGTGGGTGATAATTCCATTTCATTTTATGAAATAAATATTATTTATGTCTCCCCTCACTCAAATCAGTTTTCAAGACTTCCAGCACAAAAAACTGTGATTGGACATATTTGGCTGCAGTTTGACAGGTGTGCTTCCCGGGGGCAACCTAGCTCATATGTCAGCATTTTTCAGACTGATTGCCCCCAAAACACTAGGAGAGGTTAAGTGATTCCTGTTGTCCCCATCCCAAAATTTTACAGGCTGTCTTTGAGAGAGAACCACTGCAATTGCACTTCTGAGGATTGGTGGGGTTCATGCAACCATGGCTGCAAATTTCATCAAATTCCCCCCATAATTTTTTTTAAAATTAAAAATTCACTTGACCCCAGCCCTCAAATCTCTGGATGTGTATGCCTGTAGTTTGGCCTTCTGGAAGGGTTGTTACATCTGCAAATTTCACCTACTTCTGTCAAAATCTTCACAAATCAGCTTTTTTAATTCTCATAATAATGAATGGTGGAAATATAGCTTGAATTGTGACTTGGATGTTTAGGCTGCCCTCTGAAGTGACAGATATGAACCGGATCTTGTGGCTAGTCCACACGGCTATTATTACATATTTAAACACACATTTTCATGTTGTCATTTTTTAAAAATGTAGATTAATGTGGAAAGAGTGTGGATGAAACTTAAGAGTGGAAATATTTAAAAATGTCACAGCCTGTAAATAGATCAACTCCCCTAGTTCCAATCTCCTTCTAAATATCCCCAAATAGCTAACATTGCTTTTTGCTTCTTGTTCAGGTTTGCAGGTTGTTCTCAAGTCCATCATGAAGGCAATGGTACCTCTCCTGCAGATCGGGCTCCTCCTCTTCTTTGCCATTGTGATGTTTGCTATCATTGGGCTGGAGTTCTACATGGGGAAGTTTCACAAAACCTGCTTCAACAATGAAACAGGTGAGATTAATCAATGCCCACTAGGGGTGTGGTGGGGATGGGACTCAGAAGGCTATTTCTAAAATTAAAAAAAGGCAATGGCTTTTGGGGATCGGATTGGAGCAGGAAGCAGAATTAAAACAAGTCTGTTAACCAGTCATTTTGTGGGTAAGGGAGCTTCAGTACCATGGGTAGCTCTGTGCCCCTTGCCTTGCCTATCAGTAGCAGAATCTTCTTCTTAGTTTATTTTTCAGTGTTTCACATCCATCTTTGGGTTGTGTTGTTATTAAGCTGTTCATATTTCTCTGCATCATGGTCCAGTTCTCCACTCCATAACACATACTGGCAATATGCACATATTGAACACTTCATCTTTCAAATCTAATGAAATGTTTTTATTTTTCATTACAGGGCTGAGTTTTCCAACAGCCACCCACAATTGTTTTGTTCTCATCTTTATTTATGTTGTTTGGTCCCCATCCCCCCACAGTATGATTTTATGTCTTAAATAGATGTGTTCTTCAACTTGCTAGGTTTCTTTACCCTCTATATAATTGTCTTCATTAAACATTACTTTAGTCTTAGCTCGATTCATCATCAGTCCTACATTTTTTAATTCTTCCAATTCTTGCAGCATTTCTTGCAGTTTTTGTTGACTTTTAGCTATTACAACTGTATCATCTGCATATCATAGATTATTTCGATATATTTTGTTAACATTGATTCCTTTTTCTGACCATTTCAGCTTTTTGAGGCTTAGGTGATAAGCTATCTCTTTTTCTTATACTTCTTTTCAAAGGTATTGAGTTGGTCTTTATATGGAAATTATATGTTGCTGTCGCTTTCTTTGCTATTTCTTTGCAGTTTTGTCTGCTATCAATTCTGCAGTTACATCATGCGTGTTGTATAATCCAGGTTTCAATAATATTGATGGCCTTTTCATAACCAGTGACTGCAATGTATACATATGGGGATGTGTATGGGAACATTTTCCATCAATATTTTCATAGTAGATGATCTGCTGTAGAATATCATTTTCTAAACACCACAATAGATTTTGCAAAAACAAGAGAAACCATGCAAATTTGCGTAATGCACACAGACTGCAGACTTTAGCTTTAACCTCCGCAAGACTTGAGTTAAATACTTGTAGCCTCGCCACACCCTGCTTTGTATAACTCTGATTACTGGTGCAGTTAGGTGAATTCAGACTCTGGGCTTGCTCCCTTCTCCAAAATATATTCTGTTACTTAATTAAAAATGTGGTGAGCCAGCTTTGCTGCATTTGGGGGCCCTCTTGTTTATTCTTCAGAGTGGGGCATACAAATACAGGGACATAGGGAATTGCTTTATACTCAGACCATTGATCCATCTAGTTGAGTTCTCCATACACTTACTGGCAGTGGCTCTGCAGGATTCAGGCAGAAGTCTCACAGTATCTTACAAGGAGATGCTGGGGGTTCTATCTTGGACCTTCTGTGTGCAAAGCAGATGTTCTACCACTGAGGCATGGCTCTTCCTCTAAAACATAGGAACCTTGAAGGCTGCCTTTTAATGAGTCAGACTGAGCTCAGTCTAGCTCAGTATTGTCCACACTGGTCAGCAGGGACTTCCAGGGTTTCATGCAGATGCCTTTCTTAGCTCTACCTGTGCTTCATTCATTCCTTGAACCTCCCTGCACTGCCTCTGCTCTGTCTATTAGGACTGTTGGGCACTGCCCCACCAACCTCAGTCTGCCCACCTGCTGACCTTCTTACTTACAACTGAATGTCAGCTTCACCTGTCAGTGTCAGTGTTGCATGGCAAGTTCCCGCCTCCCCCCAGTGGAAATAAAGACACATGACACAATTATTTAGGTTAATGGGCTAAAAATGGCCACAACTTTATTGGTTACAGGTAATGAGCAGTTTTGGCTCAGGCATTGGTCCTAACCGACTATCCGGCTTCAGCCTGTCTGCTTGAAGTCCGGGAAGGGTTAACCACCAGTAGGGGGAGTCCGGCTGATGCACATCAACTAGGAGCTCCCCCGGGGTCACTGCTCGGGGGCGTGCCTTAGGCCCTCACCTCCATTGGCTTCGGACAGTGCCACGCCCCCCGGAATCCTTTATCGGACTACCCTTCAATATGCGGGGCAGGTGATGGCGCTTCCTCCTCCCTCTCATCTCACCCTTACCAATGCCTAACCGCCAACGCCGAGGAAGTTGTGACAATTTGCTATGAGGTAGCTGAAAAACTAAGTGGCTGGTGCCAAATTGCCAAGTGGAAAAAATTCCTACCAGGCCCCTTAATGGCGACCAACCGAGATCCATAGCAATGTCGGAAAGAAAACCTAAAGGGAGGGAGGGTGGGAAACTGGAGCAGCTGAAGCTGCATCTATTTTACACATAGAAGGTTCCAGGTTCAATTCCCAGTGTCTCCCAGAACCATGGACAGCTGCTGCCAGTCAGTGTAGGCAATACAAAGCTAGATGGACTAGTGGTATAACAGTATTCTGAAGGGCAATATCTTGGCAGAATGGTAAAGTTTTCAGCAGGCGTTTAAAAGTTGGCATAGAAGGCACCCCACATTGGGGAGATCTTGTTCTCCCATCACCACCCCATTGTCCAAAATTTGCTCCTTGGACCTGATGTGTTCTCCAACTCTGCTCTAGATTGCTTCTGTTCACCCACTACCCTTCTTTCCCCTTCCTTCTTCATAGGGGAGAGGCTGGGAGATTTCCCCTGTGGAGAGGAGAGGCCTGCAAGGCAATGTGAAGAAGGAGAAATTTGCAAGCAGTACTGGGAGGGCCCCAACTTTGGAATCACCAACTTCGACAACATCCTCTTTGCTGTGCTCACTGTTTTCCAGTGTATCACGATGGAGGGTTGGACTGACATTCTCTACAATGTAAGTATCACCAGCCATGTTGGTGAAGCTTGTTGTTGCTATTGCAGGGATTCCATCACTCTGTTGCACTGCAGAACAGTCTTCCCTGGCCTGGTGACCAACCCAGGCTTTGGGTTGTATCAAATGTAGACCCATTGATGCGTGTGACTGACCTAGATGGATACAACCCTAGTAGACACAATTAACTTAAATCCATTGATTTGACTCTGAATATAACTTAGTTAAGGGACGCGGGTGGCGCTGTGGGTAAAACCTCAGCGCCTAGGACTTGCCAATCACATGGTTGGTGGTTCGAATCCCCGCGGCGGGGTGCGCTCCCGTTGCTCAGTCCCAGCGCCTGCCAACCTAGCAGTTCGAAAGCACCCCCGGGTGCAAGTAGATAAATAGGGACCGCTTACCAGCGGGAAGGTAAACGGCGTTCCGTGTGCAGCTCTGGCTCGCCAGATGCAGCCTGTCACACTGGCCACGTGACCCGGAAGTGTCTGCGGACAGCGCTGGCCCCCGGCCTCTTAAGCAAGATGGGCGCGCAACCCCAGAGTCGGACACGACTGGCCCATACGGGCAGGGGTACCTTTACCTTTACTTATAACTTAGTTGCATTCAGTGCTTTATTTCTTCATTGAGAATGGTTTGTAGACCAGTTAATCATAAAACATTCTAATATCCACAAAACTGTTTACCATTTAACCTCCCTCCCTCCCTCCCTCCCAGTATACCTAAGATAATTATCAAGACAATGCAGATGATATAAGGAGAGTTTTACTGGATCAGGCCAGTGAAGCAACTTTGTTTTCTGCTGCTCGAGAGTGTAGGATCTGAACCAATGGATTCAAACGACAAGAAAGCAGATGCCAACTAAACATTAGGAAGAACTTTCTGACAACAAGAGCTGTTTGGCAGTGGAATGGATTTTTTTTTGGAAGGTGGTAGATTCTCCTTCATTGGAGATTTTAAACAGAGGCTGGGTGACCACCTTTCAAGGACTCTTTAGCTATGATTGCAGGGGGTTGAAGTAGATGACCATTGGTGTCCTTTCTAACTCTACAATTATATGAAACTATGAATTTAGAGACCAGGGTTCAAATCTTCACTCAGCCAGGAAGGTTGGTGGGTTACCTTGTGGCAGTCACTATATCTCAGCCTGAAGAAATTGAAGCTGAAGAAAGCTTTCTAGCAAGACTGAGACGTGATTTATGCTGCAGGCAGGGAAACTGAAACATTGATGAGGCAAAAGGGCTTTCAGATGAAAACACTGGGGTGGAGAGCTCCATTCTTGAAATGGTGATGTGATGAGCGGTATTTTGTGTGTGTGTGTGTTGGGGGGAGAGGAATAAACATTCCTGCAATAACTTCTGTGCTTGCAGCCAGAGAGTGACATAGGATTTTAGAGAGATGCATTCAGGAATGGGTCTTGAAGGGTCCGGTCCACTTATTGCAATACAAGATCACCCCCATCCACTCTCTTGCAGCAGCATCAACACACAAAAAGGCAAATAAGAATACAGTATAGGAAGAGCCCTGCTGGATCAGGCCAAGGGCCCATCTAGCTCCTGCTCTCATAGTGGCCAACCAGATGTCTGTAGGAAACTGACAAAACAGGATTTGAGCACAAGTACCTTCTCCCCTCCTGTGTGGTTTGTTGTTGTTGGGTTTCCTTTGGCAGCTGTTTTTCAGAAGCCTTCTGCCTCTGTGGAAGCAGAGCATAGCCATGACGGCTAGTAGGCACTGATAGCTATATCCACCATGAATTTGTATAATCCTCTTTTAAAGCCATCCAAGTTGGTGACCATCACTGCCTCCTATGGTAGTGAGTTCCATAGTTTAACTTTGTGCCTTGTCAAGAATATTCCAACATTCAGGTTCATTAGATGTCCACTAATGTTATGAGCGAGGGAGAAAGAAAAACTTTTCTCTATCCACTTTCTCCATGACAGGTATGTTAATTCCACTGGGTCTATTGTGGATAGAACTTAAATATAACCCTGAAGCTTTACCTTTCTGATATTCTAAGGGATGGGGGAAAACCTCTACTTGGTTCTTACTTTATTGCAAAACTACCTAATTCTCATTTTCTGAAACTATACGTGCACCAGAACACAGCTATCCTTTGAAGTTTGCACTTTGGGGTGCAGTTCTCCAACCACAACATGTGTGCAAAAATGCAAAGTGGATACCCTGTCCCAGAGTTATGGCCTTTGCAGTGGCTGGTGCAAAATAGCAAGACTTGGTATGCAGCATTGGACAATCTTTCCTTTCCTCTCTGAACTTATTTAGCATTGTGCTCCCCAAAAACTACCATAAAGGGCTATTGGAAACCAGTCCATAATATGCTTTGGCACCTTAGTTGTTGTTGTTTTTTTTAAATGCAGTTACATTTGTCAGTGACACCAACATACTGTCAACAAGTTAGAAGGGGGTCTTATTTAAAAATCACAGACTCACAAAGATATTGGCTATAAGGATTCTGCTGCTATTTGTTTTGTCCCTAAGTGTATGGTTTAGAAGAAATGGCCAATTTAGTAGTTATTCTGGAAATGAAGTTGCTGGAAGTTGTTTTGTATGCCAAGAAATAATTTTGGGGCATATGACAGATCTGGCTGTTCCCAAGATGTGCAAATGCTGTCAAATTGTGAGTGAATTTCTTCAGCTCTACCTTCTGTTTCTTGGCAAGCTTTCGTTGGGTTAAGTAGCAGCACTTAATTGTGGATTAGCTTTTTAAAAAGAAGTTTCTTTGAATTGATTTGCTCCAAAGGCCACTGTCGTGACGCAAGTACTGAGCTCAGGTGAGTTAACATCTGGTACAAAGCAAGGCTCATGCTGGATGCAGGGCAGGGCAGGGCAGGCAGGGCAGGACCAGGCATAAGCCTGGGCATTAGGCAGTGGCTTAGGAGAACAGTTCTCTGCTGTTGTTACAGCAACCACCACGCTGAGACTGAGCCCTATAAAGTAGCAGCAGCTGGAATTGTAAGAAGGCACCACTTTTCTTTTCACCCTGTATTCATCACATGCAGCGCTGCTTCTGTTATGCTGCAATTCTTCTTATTTCAGAAACATATTTATCAAATCTCAGGTCCAACTGTGCAACTTTCATAATTTATGTAACTAATTATGCAAGTTGTGTTGTCATTGTGCTATTCCACCCCGTTTTGTTCAGTGTGTATGAGAAGATAAATGTGGTTAATCATCTATCATTTGTGGACTGATCATACTCGCTGGATTGGTTTCTGTTTTGCACACAGGACGAATAACACTTTATTCTTTTTAGGCCAAAACCTCCTCCCCTTCACTTCATTTTTAGGCAGGTCATGCTTCATCCTTGTAAATGCCCTTAAAGGACTCCTGTCTTTGACCTGTTCATTACTGAACTAAGGCAGATTGATAGAATCATAGAACTGTAGAGATGGAATGGACCCCAAGGCTCATCTAGTCCATCCCTTGCAGCTAAAGAATCCCTGACAGATGGCCATCCAACATCTGTTTAAAAACCTCCAGTGAAGGAGAGTCCACCACCTTTCCAGGGAGCCTCTTCCACTGTTGAGCAGCTTTTATCATCATAAATGAATTGCTGCTGTTGAGTAGGTAAGAACTACCAACTCCTATGGCGACTCGGCCAAGGATACAGGGTGTAAGCAATGAGATGCTTTCTATTTGGTTGGTTTGTTGTTGGGAATTGTTGTTGTTGGGAAATCTGCTAACCCCTCTCCCACTCCACCCACCAAACATCTGGTTCTATACTTTCAGTAAGTAACACAGTTTAGAATTGCACAACATGGGAAGCATGGGAAAACTAAATGAAGTTGCTACTCATTGGACACACTGATATTTTTGGACAGGTTCTTGACTGTTCTAAAGTTTCAGTATAAAACAAAACCACCCTTCCCCCCCTCATACCATTAATTAGTCTCTGTCAGTGATTAGTAATCAAGAACAAATCACATATCTCTACTAATAAGCAGATATTCTCATGTAAATATGTGGTTGAATGCAACTAAATTTTGCATTTTCCAAGAACTCTATTAATGGTCACTAATTTTGTAAGATAATGTTTTATTTGCAGTCCAAATTTTACTTATTGCAAAAGCTTATCCACCATGAGAGTGCCCACAACTTTTTTTAAACCCACCAATAAATTTCCAAACCCATGTCAAAGTGCTGATTTTAACTTCTGAAGCCCTAAATCATTTGGGACCAGGTTAAATGATGGATAACTTTCTCCTATCTATACGAGGCCAGGTATGAACAGTAGAAGAGCCCTGCTGGATCAGGGCAAAAAGCTCATCTTGTCCAGCACTTCATCTAGTCTAGTTCTCACAGTGGCCAACCAGATGCCCCAATGGAAAATCCACATGTATGGGCAGGAACTGAATACAAGAGCGCACCCCTCACTTGTAATTCCCAGCAGCTACCTCTGACAGTGGAGGTAAAATATAACCACCATAGAATTTAGATTTCAAAAGAACAGCATGTATTAAGAACGTAAGAAAAGCCCAGCTAGATCATACCAAAGACCAGTGTGGGTAGGATTTGCCACTTCCTAGGCTTCCCAATTCAATAAACTGGGGTGGGAGGCTTAGGAAATTACACAACCCATGTATGCCGACAGATGGACATGCTCAGGAGCATCTATAACTTAAGAAGAACCCTGCTAGATCAAGCCAAAGGCCCACCTAGTCCAACATCCTGTTCTCACAGTGGCCGACCAGATGCCTATGGGAAGCAAGTAAGTTGGACTGATCTTGAGATGCCCTTCTCTAGGTTCCTGCACCTAATGTAGAGTTACTAGGGAGACAGCCTTAGCAGTGGTGCCCAGTTTCTGGAAAGCCACTTCCGCCCTTCAGAGGAGGTGGAGTTGCGGGCTTCATGGCCCCACCACACACGCTGCGGCTGGAATCCAGCCCCCGCGCGATTGGGGGATTCCCGGCTGTGTCACCTCCTGGCCAGCCAATCGGCTGGCTCTGGGGGTGTGGCCTGCCTTATTTAAAGCAGGACGCGGCTGGGGA